GATTATAGAATTATCGAATGTAGGTAGAGGCGGATACATGTAGCTGGGTGTACCATAGAAAAAATATATATAATATGAAAACTGCTTACCCTATTAGGTCCGTAACTATCCGTTTTCTGAGAACTCAACTGATACAGAAAACGAGTATGAAAGGGTAAGCTCAAAGATTATTTTTACACGGACGCTTGCATTCTTGTTATGATGTGTTGGGCAGCAAAGATCCAATATATGTTTATAGTCCTTATTTCTCATTCTACTTACTTTTCACCCATCCAAATAATCAAAACGTATATAGATCATTAAGAAATCAGAAACAAGACTGATCACACACACACACACACACACACACACACACACACACACACACACACACACACACACACACACACACACACACACACTCACACTCACACTCACACTCACACTCACACACACACACACACATACATATACATTTTCTTCTTCTTCTTCTTCTACTTTTCTTTTTTTTTTTCTTTTCTTTTTTCTTTCTTTCTTTCTTTTGTTTCTTTGTTTTTTTCGTTTTTTTTTTTCTTTCTATTTTCTTTTTCTTTTCTTTTCTTTTCGTCTTTGATCGACCAGATTCTATAACCCATGACATGTCTACGTCTCTCTTTTTATCTATGTATATACGTCGTGCTCTTTATATGTGTCTATATCTCTCGTTATTCAATCTGTCTCCGTGTCTGCTTATCTATATTCGTCTATCTAACTCTGTCTATGTCTCGTTATCTATCTATATCGATATTTCTCTGTCTATCTGTACCTTTCTCTCTCTATTTCTCTCTGTATCTCTCACTTCCACTGGTGGGTGGTGAAGAAGCATCCTTTTTGTCAATCTGTATATCTGTCTACTTATCTATTTCATCTTCTCTACTGTCTGTTTGTTTGTTTGTCTGTCTGTCTGTGCCTATGTGTGTCTGTCTGTCTGTCGGTCTGTCAATCAGTCAGTCAGTTTCTCACTCAGTCAGTAAGTCAATCAGTCTGTCTGTCTGTCTGTCGGTCTGTCAGTCAGTCAGTCAGTTTGTCACTCAGTCAGTAAGTCAGTCAGTCAGTCTGTCTGCCTGCCTGCCTGTCTGTCTGTCTGTCTATCTGTCAGTTAGTCAGTCAGTCAGTCAGTCAGTCTGTCTGCCTGTCTGTCTGTCTGTCCGTCAGTCAGTCAGTCAGTCAGTCAGTCAGTCAGTCTGTCTTTCTGTCTGTCTGTCTGTCTGTCTGTCTGTCAGTCAGTCAGTCTGTCTGTCTGCCTGTCTGTCTGTCTGTCAGTCAGTCTGTCTGTCTGTCAGTCAGTCAGTCAGTCAATCATTCAGTCTCTATCTCCTTGTGCCTCGCTCCCTATCTCTGCATCACCTTCTCTCTATCCTCCCCTCTTTCTCCGTATCTATCCCCGCCATGATATAATTGCACCCCACGGAAAATAGGTCAGTGTTGATTTCGTGCGTCTTGTTTCCACGACAGCTTCTCCGCGAGGTGATGCGGGAAGTTTATTAATGAGGAGAGATTCGATATGATGATTAAAAGGGAGTTTAATGATGATGACAGCGATAATGAAGATGAGAGAGTTAATAATCCATTTTTGTGTAATTATGATTTACAGGAAGCGAAGAGGAGAGATTATGAGGATAGTGATATTTACGTTAGTAGTAATGACAATAATGATAATGCAGATGATAGTAATGATAATAACAAGCGTAATATTAATGAAATAATTATATCGCTATGTCCATAACTCATGCAATATATAATGAAAATGATGACAGATAGCGTGATGGTAAGTAAATAATGATGATAATAACATCATTAACTGCAACGACATTAATTATAAAGTGATAGTATTTTACCTAAGTTACCCCGAAATATTGGTAACGCCCTCTCGTCTTGTTCAGAACCAGGGTGACCACGTGTTAAATGTCCTCCCTGTGTTTTATTCTGTGTATTTTAAGTGTCCATTTTCCCTTGGATTCAATTGCCCTTGCGTCACTCTATCAGTGTTATTTCGTTCGGTGAATGTAAGGTGTTTCTGTATAATTAATATGTTCATCTTACGTTTTTCAGAGTTTGACAAAGCAATTCAAAAGATTTTAGAAATGTGCTGGAAATATAATAATGACCCAAAAGCTAAGCAGTCACCACCGTCCATAGAAAATTCAGTAATTTGCTTCAAGTGATAAGCTCAGGAGGTTGACTGAACCCTAACTTCTCTCTCGGTTTACGTGGGAGTGTTTTGGGCCTTGAGACGAAAGGGTAGTTTGTGTATAAAGGGAAACGTGCTGTGGCTTAACTTGGTTTGCTATGATAGACCGTTTTTTAGTATTTTCTCATCATTATTATTGATGTTGTTATATTTGCTTTCGTTGTTATTATTATTATGATTATTGTTATATATATTTTTTTATGATTATCATTATTATTATTCAGTTTTAGTATGGTCCTTTTCCTTTTAAATTTATCATTGTGTTGTTTCTGTTCAATTTTGCTTTATCTATTTTATGTTTGCTTTTGTTATAATTTTATTGTTTGTACACTTTGCGTGTATGTATTTTCTGTTTTCTTATTATTCTATTTTCGCTACACTTATACTAGCCATACTGACTTCTTTTATTCAATGAATGAAAATTTTATGAAAAATAACAAGGGAATGACTAATAGTGAAACAATACATTATTATTACTGCATGATGACAATACCTAATAATAATATCGATAATGATAATAAAAATGAGAATGATAATAGATGATTAATAATAATATCGATAATGATAATAATAATGAGAATGATAATAGTGATAATAACAGTAATAGTAGTAAAAGTAATCATGATCATAATCATAATATCGATAAAACAACCATAATTTGAAACTTAATGAGGATAATAATGTTGATAACGGTAATGATGATGAGATGATGATGATACTACTACTACTGGTAATTGTAGTAGAAGTAGCTTTATTAATAATACGTGATAATAGTAATGATAGTAACAATTACTATAATAATGGTGATTATTACTATTAGCAATACCAAAAGTAGTAATAACAGTTCTAATAATGAATAATAATAATATGATGATAGCAATATAGATAATGGTAATGATAATAGCAATACCAATAGCATTGATACAACAATATCAAAAATTATGATAAAAGTAGTTAAAATTACATTAATGATATTAGAAATAATGGTGATGGTGGTAGTAATAATGTCAGTGATAGTAATGATTATGACTGTAATCATGTGAATAGTATTTCGTTCTATATTATTGACAAGCAATCATCGTTATCATCAGCCCCGTGGTAGCAATATCTGCAATTTGTGATTGAGTGAGTGATTGCTTTATAATGATTGGTGTAATTACAGAACTTCATTTTGCACAGTAATAATTCATATTTTATTTGTGTGTGTATGATAGAGAGTGCGAAGGGGGGGGGGTTAAAATACGTGATCTAATATTAAAACCTTTAGTAAGGAATATTCTCTAAATAATGCACTCTTTCAATAAGGAAGGTGAAAGGAAGAAAACAAAAGCTTGGTTATATAATTTTAATATTTTTGTTGACTGTACAAACAACTGATGCAACACAGTTTGGTGATAAACTTATAATTACGTTTAATCACTAGGAGAAGTTTATCATTACACTTAAACTTTGTTAACTTTACTAACTCGCACAAAACACCCTCAACGACCACAGATATTCCCACAAAGGAAGGAATGTTTGCTTCAGGATAATAATAATTATATAACATATAATTTCACTAACTGACAAGGGCCAAAGTTGCATATATTGACGATAAAGTAAATTAGATTTTATTTTCGCTTAGCCTACACGAGATATGTTAAGTATGGTATCGTTATTTTCTATTACTTTTTTTATCATTCTTTCTCTGAATCATTTTAGCACCACTTGCTATAGTATTAATCATCGTCGGTGTAGTTCATCGTCCAAAAAAAGATGTTACATGGCTATACACCTTCCTTTTCCCTCGATTTAGCATTCACTATCTCTTCTTCAAACTTATCGCTCAACTACCGAACATCTTTTTTACTCTCGGTATCAATAATAATAATAATAAAATAAACACATTATTCCAGCCAGCTTTAAAGGCGCTTAAAGCTGACAAGAACAGCTTCGGCACAAGTGTCAACCAAACGCGAAGGAGACGAAGGAAAAAGGCCGAGGAAAGCAACGAGCGAAGAAGGTGGTCAGGTGCGTCGATTCCTGTCGTCGTAGCAAGCAGAGTGCGAGAGTCTTAAAAATAGCGTCTTATCAGGAGGGCGACTGGTCCGAGGCCGCGCTGGGGAGGGCTCTGGCGGAGGACTTCGAGGTCTGTCTTTAGCATGTAGCGGGACGCCATTTTCCTCTTCGAGTCCTGCGGGTTTCGGCCGGGAAGGATGCTTGGTGAGGCGCGACCCGTCTTGTTCTCAGGATGCCAGGGGTAGAGTGGGACCGGTCTTTTTCGAATTTTAATGTTGTGGCTTTCATAAATTTGTGCTTATATATGTATATATATATTTCCCCCATTTAATAGATACACACACACACACACACACACACACACACACACACACACACACACACACACACATATATATATATATATATGTATATATATATATATATATATATATATATATATATATATATATATGTGTGTGTGTGTGTGTGTGTGTGTGTGTGTTTGTGTGTATAGATATAGGTATGTATGTGTATGTAAGATTGTTTATATATATATATATATATATATATATATATATATATATATATATATATA